TCGGGGAGGAATGTGAAGCTCCGGGGGCAGAGGGGAAAAAGGCAGCAGGTTCTGGGAGGGGGGTGGGACAAAGGGGGGGGTTTTGGTTTGTGTCTTTAAACCCTTTTTTTTTCTCCTCCTCGTTTGCTTTTATTAATTATTATCTATATTCCCGGCTTTTGTTAAATTGTGGAATTCCTTCACTCCAAAGTAATTCGAGGAATTTAATTCACGCCCGGAATATTTGATGTCGAGTTTTAAAAAAAAAAAAATATAAATAAATGATACAAAACACCACCCCCACCCCCAAGGGAAGAGCGGAGCCACCTTTAAAAGCAAAATAAAACCACTTTGTGTTGGTTTTGTTTGTTTTTTTTCTCTATGCACTTTGTTTTCCTAAAAAAAAGACCCAAAAAAGCTGAATAAATCCACGGGGATAAGAGTGGGGGAAACTTTGCTTTTCCTTCCAGCAGCACCTTCCAGCTGGATGTTGTGTTTTAACCTGGGAGAGAGGAGCAGCTTTTCTTTTTTTATATATATATTTTTTTTTAAAAATAGCGTTAAACATTTTAATAGTTGCTATTTTAGGGGAAATAAGTGGATTTTTAGGTGTTGGGGTGTTGCCGGAGAGCAGGGTGGGAATCCCCCCCCTTGTGAGGAGACAAAGAGAGGTTAAAACCTGTTAAAAAAAAACCCTTATTTTGGAAATAAAGAGAATATTTTGGGGAAAAAACCACCCAGAATGAACAATTTTGAGGGTGAGGTTGTGCCAGAAAAGGGGGAGCAGAATTGGGGAGGTTTAATTATTCGGGCAGCTCCAAAACCTCCACTTTCAGCTGGTTCAGCCCAAAAAAAAAACCCAAAAAACCCCCAACCCCAGCTGCTCCCAGGCTGGTTTCCCAGGGCAAAAGCTACAAAAAAACTCATCGTTTTTAATAAAAAAATAATGAAATAAAAGCATTTGTGGAGGGGGTGGCAGCGGCAACAGATGTTCTGGCAGCTGGAGCCAAAAAAGCTGCTCGGTTTTCCCTCCCCGGCATCGCAGGGAAGGGAGGGAATTCTGTTTGCTCAGCGTTATCTCGGCAGGAAAAGGGCCCAAAATGATCTCATTCCCTCGATTTTAAAGGAAAAAAAAAATAAATAAAATAAAATAAGGGGATGCCGGGGTTGTTTGGGGGGTTTTTTGGGGGGAAAAGGGGCTGTAGGGGTAAAAAAAAAAAGAGCCTGGAAACAGGGAGCCCCTTCCAATATCAAAAATAATTCAAAAATAATGACATAATGGTGTAAAAAAGTAATAAAATAATTTTTAAAAAATTTGATTTACATCATTGTGTCCACTGCAAGTTTGTCCAACTTCTGGGGGGGAGGGAAATTGTGACGAATTTGCCTCAGATTAGGAAAAAAAAAATGGGAGAATGAAGGTGGTTGATGTTTATTATGGTTGGGAACGGCCTCGTTAACAGATTCCCCCCAGTGGAAACTCTGAGCCCAGCCCCCGCTTCCAAGTGCCAGCTTTTGCTTTTTTTTCTTAATTTTTTTATTTTTTGTGTGTTTTTCCAGCAGATTATTGGGCAGAACAATGAAATTAAAAAACCCCCGGAGCCGTGACAAAACCCCACGGAGGGAGGGGGCAGGAAAAACAGCCCGAGCTGCACCTTCCCCTTTACATTCAACTCCCTTTTTTAGGGGGGGAAAAAAAGCCAAAAAATCAATATATTCTCTCCAAATTATTTCCCCATCAAAAAAGCATTAATTTTATATTATTTGGGGGTTTTTTTCCTAGTTTAAAGACTTAAAACTCCCCCAAATCCGGCTTGAATCCATCTGGTTTTCCTCATTCCGGGGGCTTTTTCCATCACTCTGGGGGCTTTTTCCATCACTCCGGGGGCTTTTTTCCATCTCATTAAGGAGGAAAAGCCTAATTAATCAAATAAAACCCTAATTTTCACGGTGGAGGGGGATGTTAAGAGCGAGGTTGGGATGTTCAGCTCTGACCTGGAGCAAAGCCCACCCAAGACATCACCACCACCCTGTTGCCCTCCCCCCCTAAAAAACCCAGAAAAATGGGCAAAAGCCAAGAATTAAGAGGATTTTGGGACCTTCCCGAGTCAATCCTTGGGCCTGACGTCTCCGAGAGCTTCAAAAAAATGTCCGGTGGGGGCTGAACCTCCCCAATTTTAAGCCTTTTTTAAGCCCGAGGGGAACAACTGCGGCGGCAGCTGCCGTCGGGCAGACAAAGGGAAAGGCTGTGGAGCCCAAAAAACCAACCCACCCCCCCTTAAAAAACAAAAAAAAACCTTCTTTTTTTTTATTTTAGCCCTACACAGGTGGCCGGGGAGGCAGCAAAAAGTGGAATTTTCAAGAGATGCTCTGTTTTGCCCTCGTTCCTGGCTCGGCCGCAGCCACCAGCTGCTCCTCAAGCGGGAAAAATCAGGTGGAAAATGGGAATTAAATCCCCCCCGGGGGGGTGGGGGGAGCAACGGGGCTGGCAGCTCGAGCCTTGTTTTCACAGATTTTGGCATTTTTTGGGGGTGTATTTGGCGCTCGGGAGGTTGGGGAAGGGCTGGAGGTGAGCTCTGGGCGGGGAGAACCGCGCAGGGATTGCGTCACCGGCGGCGGCAGCCCCCCAATTTCAGCTCTTTCTGCCTTAAAAATGATATTTAAATCATATTTAGGGGTCTAAAAGGGAGGCCACCTCCTAAAAATGATATTTAGAGGATATTTAGGAGGCTAAAAGGGAGACCACCTCCTAAAAAATGATATTAAAAGGATATTTAGGAGGCTAAAATGGAGGCAACCTCCAAAAAATGATATTTAAAGGATATTTAGGATCAAAAACATAGGCCGCCTCCTAAAAATGATATTTAAGAGTCTAAAACGGGGGGCACCTCCAAAAAATGATATTTAAAGGATATTTAGGATCAAAAACATAGGCCGCCTCCTAAAAATGATATTTAGGAGTCTAAAACGGGGGCCACCTCCAAAAAATGATATTTTAATGATATTTAGGGTCTAAAACAGAGGCCACCTCCTAAAAATGATATTTAGGAGTCTAAAACGGGGGCCACCTCCAAAAAATGATATTTTAATGATATTTAGAGGCTAAAACAGAGGCCACCTCCTAAAAATGATATTTAAAGGATATTTAGGAGGCTAAAACAGGGGCCAACTCCTAAAAATTATATTTAAATGATATTTAGGAGGCTAAAATGGAGACCACCTCCTAAAAATGATATTTAAATGATATTTAGGAGGCTAAAACGGAGGCTACCTTGTAAAAATGATATTTAAAGGATATATAAAAGGCTAAAACAGAGGCCACCTCCTAAAAATGATATTTAAAGGATATTTAGGAGGCTAAAAGGGGGGCCGGATTTTGGCATTTTTTGGGGGTGTATTTGGCGCTCGGGAGGTTGGGGAAGGGCTGGAGGTGAGCTCTGGGCGGGGAGAACCGCGCAGGGATTGCGTCACCGGCGGCGGCAGCCACCCAATTTCAGCTCTTTCTGCCTTAAAATTGATATTTAAAGGATATTTAGGGGTCTAAAAGGGAGGCCACCTCCTAAAAATGATATTTAGAGGATATTTAGGAGGCTAAAACGGAGGCCACCTCTGAAAAACGATATTTAGAGGATATTTAGGAGGCTAAAACGGAGGCCACCTCTGAAAAACGATATTTAGAGGATATTTAGGAGGCTAAAACGGAGGCCACCTCTGAAAAACGATATTTAGAGGATATTTAGGAGGCTAAAACGGAGGCCACCTCTGAAAAACGATATTTAGAGGATATTTAGGAGTCTAAAATGGAGGCCACCTCCTAAAAATGATATTTAAAGGATATTTAGGAGGCTAAAACAGGGGCCAACTCCTAAAAATTATATTTAAATGATATTTAGGAGGCTAAAACAGAGGCCACCTCCTAAAAATGATATTTAGGAGTTTAAAACGGGGGCCACCTCCAAAAAATGATATTTTAATGATATTTAGGGTCTAAAACAGAGGCCACCTCCTAAAAATGATATTTTAATGATATTGAGGAGTCTAAAACGGAGGCCACCTCCTAAAAAATGATATTTAAATTATATTTAGGAGGCTAAAATGGAGGCTGCCTCCTGAAAATGATATTTAGAGGATATTTAGGAGGCTAAAAGGGAGGCCACCTCCTAAAAAATTATATTTAAAGGATATTTAGGAGGCTAAAACGGAGGCCACCTCCTAAAAATTATATTTAAAGGATATTTAGGAGGCTAAAACAGAGGCCATCTCCTAAAAATGATATTTAAAGGATATTTAGAAGGCTAAAACAGAGGCTGCCTCTTAAAAATGTTATTTAGGAGTCTAAATCGGAGGCCACCTCCTAAAAATGATATTTAAAGGATATTTAGGAGTCGAAAATGGAGATCCCCTCCTAAAAATGATATTTAAAGGATATTTAGGAGGCTAAAACAGAGGCTGCCTCCTGAAAATGATATTTAAAGGATATTTAGGAGGCTGAAATGGGGGCCACCTCCTAAAAATGATACTTAAATGATATTTAGGAGGCTAAAAGGGAGGCCACCTCCTAAAAATGATATTTAAGAGTCTAAAATGGAGGCCACCTCCTAAAAATGATATTTAAAGGATATTTAGGAGTCTTAAATGGAGGCAACCTCCTAAAAATGATATTCAGAGGATATTTAAGAGGTTAAAACGGGGGCCACCTCCAAAAAATGATATTTAAAGGATATTTAGGAGTCGAAAACGGAGGCCACCTCCTAAAAATGATATTTAAAGGATATTTAGGAGTCGAAAACGGAGGCCACCTCCTAAAAATGATATTTAAAGGATATTTAGGAGTCGAAAACGGAGGCCACCTCCTAAAAATGATATTTAAAGGATATTTAGGAGTCGAAAACGGAGGCCACCTCCTAAAAATGATATTTAAAGGATATTTAGGAGTCGAAAACGGAGGCCACCTCCTAAAAATGATATTTAAAGGATATTTAGGAGTCGAAAACGGAGGCCACCTCCTAAAAATGATATTTAAAGGATATTTAGGAGTCGAAAACGGAGGCCACCTCCTAAAAATGATATTTAAAGGATATTTAGGAGTCGAAAACGGAGGCCACCTCCTAAAAATGATATTTAAAGGATATTTAGGAGTCGAAAACGGAGGCCACCTCCTAAAAATGATATTTAAAGGATATTTAGGAGTCGAAAACGGAGGCCACCTCCTAAAAATGATATTTAAAGGATATTTAGGAGTCGAAAACGGAGGCCACCTCCTAAAAATGATATTTAAAGGATATTTAGGAGTCTAAAATGGAGGCAACCACCTAAAAAATGATATTTAGGAGGATAAAATGGAGGCTGCCTCCTGAAAATGATATTTAGAGGATATTTAGGAGGTTAAAACAGGGGCCACCTCCTAAAAAATGATATTTAAAGGATATTTAGGAGGCTAAAACAGAGACCACCTCCTAAAAAATTATATTTAAAGGATATTTAGGAGGCTAAAAGGGAGGCCACCTCCTAAAAATGATATTTAAAGGATATTTAGGAGGCTAATATGGAGGCCACCTCCTAAAAATGATATTTAGGAGTCGAAAACGGGGGCCACCTCCTAAAAATGATATTTAAAGGATATTTAGGAGTCTAAAACGGAGGCCATCTCCTAAAAATTATATTTAGGAGGCTAAAATGGAGGCCACCACCTAAAAATGATATTTAAAGGATATTTAGGATTCGAAAACGGAGGCAACCTCCTAAAAATGATATTTAAAGGATATTTAGGAGGCTAAAACGGAGGCTGCCTCCTAAAAATGATATTTAAAGGATATTTAGGATTCGAAAACGGAGGCAACCTCCTAAAAATGATATTTAAAGGATATTTAGGAGGCTAAAACAGACGCCACCTCCTAAAAAATGATATTTTAATGATATTTAGGGGGCTAAAACAGAGGCCATCTCCTAAAGAGACCACGTGGATGAAGAGGGGAATATTTAGAATGAACCCACACGGGTCAGACCGGCCCTTTCTTGATTTGGGGGGCTTTTTTTTGAATTTTTGTGGATTGTTTGAGGGCTTTTGCTTTGTCCTTACCCCAGCCTCTCCTTGCTCTCCTCGGGCGTGAGCTGGTCGAAGGTTTTGGCCTCGTCGGCCCCCAGGAACGCGTCGTGGTCGTAGTCGAAATTCTGAGCGTCGTCGTGGACCTTGTCGCTGAGCTGGGGGTCGTGGTGGACCCGGTCCTTCTTCTCGGTGGGTTTGCTGGAGATGCAGAGCATGGAGAGGGAGAGGCAGAGGAGGAGCTGAGGGATGGTCATGGTGGGTCCCACGCACCTACGGGATGGGGGGAAAAAGGGAAAAAAATAGAGAATTAAAACCTGGGGGGACGTCGGGGCTGAGAGATGGAGGTTCTGGGGGCATAAATTGGAATTTGGGGAGAAAAATTGGGAGAAGTGGTGGATTGGGAGCGACTCACGGGGCAAAATGGTGAATTCAGAGAGATCAGATGGAAAAAAAAGGATGAGTTTGTAGGGATTATCTAGGAAAAGGATGAATTCCTACAAATTAGCGGGGCCGAAGCAAGAATTCATCCAGATCAGCAGGGAAAAGTGATGAATTCATCCAGATCAGCAGGGAAAAATGATGAATTAATACGGATCAGAGGGGAAAAAACATGAATTCATAGAGATTGGCTGGGTAAAAACCATGAAATATTCCAGATGAGAAAGGAAAAACCATTAATTCATCCAGATTAGAGGGGGAAAACCACTAATTCACCTGGATTAGAGGGAAAAAACATTAATTCATCCAGATTATCCAGAAAAAACTATGAATTAATCTGGATCAGATGGGGAAAAGCATGAAATAATCCAGATTAGCCAGGGAAAACCATGAATTAATCCAGATCAGATGGGGAAAACCATGAATTTATCCAGATTATCTGGAAAAACCCATTAATTAATCCAGATTAGAGGGGGGAAACCATGAATTCATCTAGATTACCCAGGAAAAAACATGAATTCATCCAGATTGGAGGGGGAAAGCATGAATTAACCCAGATTATCCAGGAAAAATCATGGTTTCATCCAGATTAGAGAGGAAAAAAACCCAATTAATTCACAGAGATCGGCTGGGAAAAGCCATGAATTCATCCAGATTAGCCAGGAAAAAAAACATGAGTTCATCCAGATTAAAGGGGCAAAACAATGAATTAATCCAGATCAGATGGGGAAAACCCATTAATTAATCCAAATTAGAGAGGAAAAACCATTAATTCATCTAGATTATCCAGGAAAAACATGAATTCATCCAGATTGGAGGGGAAAACCATGAATTAATCCAGATTAGAGGGGATAGAGGATATTTAGGAGGCTAAAACGGGGGCCACCTCCTAAAAATGATATTTAAAGGATATTTAGAAGGCTAAAACGGAGGCTGCCTCTTAAAAATGTTATTTAGGAGTCTAAATCGGAGGCCACCTCCTAAAAATGATATTTAAAGGATATTTAGGAGTCGAAAATGGAGATCCCCTCCTAAAAACGATATTTAAAGGATATTTAGGAGGCTAAAACAAGGGCCACCTCCTGAAAATGATATTTAAAGGATATTTAGGATTCAGAAACGGGGGCCACCTCCTAAAAATGATATTTGAAGGATATTTAGGAGGCTAAAAGGGAGGCCACCTCCTAAAAATGTTATTTAGGAGTCGAAAACGGAGGCCACCTCCTAAAAATGATATTTAAAGGATATTTAGGAGTCTAAAATGGAGGCAACCACCTAAAAAATGATATTTAGGAGGATAAAATGGAGGCTGCCTCCTGAAAATGATATTTAGAGGATATTTAAGAGGTTAAAACAGGGGCCACCTCCTAAAAAATGATATTTAAAGGATATTTAGGAGGCTAAAACAGAGACCACCTCCTAAAAAATTATATTTAAAGGATATTTAGGAGGCTAAAAGGGAGGCCACCTCCTAAAAATGATATTTAAAGGATATTTAGGAGGCTAATATGGAGGCCACCTCCTAAAAATGATATTTAGGAGTCGAAAACGGGGGCCACCTCCTAAAAATGATATTTAAAGGATATTTAGGAGTCTAAAACGGAGGCCATCTCCTAAAAATTATATTTAGGAGGCTAAAATGGAGGCCACCACCTAAAAATGATATTTAAAGGATATTTAGGATTCGAAAACGGAGGCAACCTCCTAAAAATGATATTTAAAGGATATTTAGGGGGCTAAAACAGAGGCCATCTCCTAAAGAGACCACGTGGATGAAGAGGGGAATATTTAGAATGAACCCACACGGGTCAGACCGGCCCTTTCTTGATTTGGGGGGCTTTTTTTTGAATTTTTGTGGATTGTTTGAGGGCTTTTGCTTTGTCCTTACCCCAGCCTCTCCTTGCTCTCCTCGGGCGTGAGCTGGTCGAAGGTTTTGGCCTCGTCGGCCCCCAGGAACGCGTCGTGGTCGTAGTCGAAATTCTGAGCGTCGTCGTGGACCTTGTCGCTGAGCTGGGGGTCGTGGTGGACCCGGTCCTTCTTCTCGGTGGGTTTGCTGGAGATGCAGAGCATGGAGAGGGAGAGGCAGAGGAGGAGCTGAGGGATGGTCATGGTGGGTCCCACACACCTACGGGATGGAGGGAAAAAGGGAAAAAAATAGAGAATTAAAACCTGGGGGGACGTCGGGGCTGAGAGATGGAGGTTCTGGGGGCATAAATTGGAATTTGGGGAGAAAAATTGGGAGAAGTGGTGGATTGGGAGCGACTCGCGGGGCAAAATGGGGAATTCAGAGAGATCAGATGGAAAAAAAAGGATGAGTTTGTAGGGATTATCTAGGAAAAGGATGAATTCCTACAAATTAGCGGGGCCGAAGCAAGAATTCATCCAGATCAGCAGGGAAAAGTGATGAATTCATCCAGATCAGCAGGGAAAAATGATGAATTAATACGGATCAGAGGGGAAAAAACATGAATTCATAGAGATTGGCTGGGTAAAAACCATGAAATATTCCAGATGAGAAAGGAAAAACCATTAATTCATCCAGATTAGAGGGGGAAAACCACTAATTCACCTGGATTAGAGGGAAAAAACATTAATTCATCCAGATTATCCAGAAAAAACTATGAATTAATCTGGATCAGATGGGGAAAAGCATGAAATAATCCAGATTAGCCAGGGAAAACCATGAATTAATCCAGATCAGATGGGGAAAACCATGAATTTATCCAGATTATCTGGAAAAACCCATTAATTAATCCAGATTAGAGGGGGGAAACCATGAATTCATCTAGATTACCCAGGAAAAAACATGAATTCATCCAGATTGGAGGGGGAAAGCATGAATTAACCCAGATTATCCAGGAAAAATCATGGTTTCATCCAGATTAGAGAGGAAAAAAACCCAATTAATTCACAGAGATCGGCTGGGAAAAGCCATGAATTCATCCAGATTAGCCAGGAAAAAAAACATGAGTTCATCCAGATTAAAGGGGCAAAACAATGAATTAATCCAGATCAGATGGGGAAAACCCATTAATTAATCCAAATTAGAGAGGAAAAACCATTAATTCATCTAGATTATCCAGGAAAAACATGAATTCATCCAGATTGGAGGGGAAAAGCATGAATTAATCCAGATTAGAGGGGAAAAGCATGAATTAACCCAGATTATCCAGGAAAAAACCATGGTTTAATCCAGATTAGAGGGGGGAAAAACCATTCATTCACAGAGATCGGCTGGGAAAAGCTGTGAATTCATCCAGATTAGCCAGGAAAACACATGAGTTCATCCTGATTGGAGGGGCAAAACCATGAATTAAGCCAGATCAGATGGGGAAAACCATTAATTAATCCAGATCAGATGGGGGAAACCATGAATTTATCCAGATTATCTGGAAAAACCCCATTAATTAATCCAGATCAGAGGGGGAAAGCCATTAATTCATCCAGAAAATTCAGGCAAAGCCATGAATTAATAGAGATTAACTGGGCAAAATTATGAATTCATCCAGATTAGCCAGAAAAAAAGGAAGATTTCATCCAGAATAGCCAGGGAAAAAGGAGGAATTAATACAGATCAGAGGGGCAAAACAGTTAATTCCTCCAGATTATCTGGGAAAAACAGTGAATTCACCCAGATCAACCACGGAAAAGGTGGAATTCATAGAAATCAAAAGGCAAAACCATTAATTCATCCGTATCAGGTGGGTAAAGCAGTGAATGAATACAGATCATCGGGGAAAAAACATGCATTAATGCACATTGTTTGGGAAAAAACAGGAATGAATACAGATTATCTGGGAAAAAAACACAAACTAAAGCAGATAATCTGGGAAAAAACACATATTAATGGAGATTATCTGGGGGAAAATGATAAATTCATCCAGATCAACTGGGGAAAATGATGAATTCATAGAGATTAACGGGGCAAAAAAATGAATTCATACAGATCAGGCGGGGAAAACAGTGAATTAATGCAGATTATTTGGGGGAAAACCATGAATTGATACAGATTGTTCGGGAAAAACCATGAATGAATGCGGATTTTCTGGGGGAAACCATGAATGAATGCAGATTTTCTGGGGGAAACCATGAATGAATGCAGATTTTCTGGGGGAAACCATGAATGAATGCAGATTTTCTGGGGGAAACCATGAATGAATGCAGATTATCTGGGGAAACCCACGAATTAATGCAGATTATCTGGGGAAACCCACGAATTAATGCAGATTATCTGGGGAAACCCACGAATTAATGCAGATTATCTGGGGAAACCCACGAATTAATGCAGATTATCTGGGGAAACCCACGAATTAATGCAGATTATCTGGGGAAACCCACGAATTAATGCAGATTATCTGGGGAAACCCACGAATTAATGCAGATTATCTGGGGAAACCCACGAATTAATGCAGATTATCTGGGGAAACCCACGAATTAATGCAGATTATCTGGGGAAACCCACGAATTAATGCAGATTATCTGGGGAAACCCACGAATTAATGCAGATTATCTGGGGAAACCCACGAATTAATGCAGATTATCTGGGAAAACCCAATGAATTAATGCAGATTTTCTGGGAAAACCAATGAATTAAGGCAGATTTTCTGGGGGAAATGATGAATTAATAGAGATTATCTGGTAAAACCAATGCCTTCATCATATTAACAGGGGAAAAAACACGAATTAATGCAGATTATCTGGGAAACCCATGAATTAATGCAGATTATCTGGAGAAAACCACAAATGAATACAGATTTTCTGGGGAAAATGATGAATTAATGCAGATTATCTGAGGGAAATGATGAATTAATGCATGTTATCAGGGAAAAACCATGAATTCATCCCGATTATCTGGGGAAAAGCATGAATTAATGCAGATTATCCGGGGAGAAAACATGAATTATTCCAGATCAGAGGCGCAAAACAGTGAATTCATCCAGATTATCAGGGAAAAACCATTAATTAAGGCAGATTATCCAGGAAAAACACTCCGGGAGCCCTCTGGCTCTCTTGGAATCTCTTCCTCCCTCCGTGGGGCAGAGCAGGAACGAACTGGGAGGAGGAGGAGGAGGAGGAGGAATGCGAAGGATGCACGGCCAACGCACGCAGGGCCCCCTTCCCCAACCCCTGCCAAACCCCCCCACGCTCACATTTCCACCCCCCCCAAAAAAAATCACCCCTTTCCATCCACCCCACGGCTCCAAAATCCCCTCCGGGACCTCCCACGGGGGTGGAATTTCCCCCCCAAAATCATATTTCACCATTAATTCCAGTCCCCACGTGCTCCTTGCACCCATTTGGAACCCAATTCCACCCCCCCTTCAGTGCCAGGGGGGGTGGGTGACAGACAGGGACGATGACAGGGATAATTAGGAGGTGGCAATTTATCACCCGGATCATTTGGCAATAGGGGGGTGGCGGGGGGGGGAAAGGCTCTTGGAAGCGTTTCCCCCCCGTAATCTAAATTTAAATCAAAAATACCTATTTTTTCCGCCACCTCTCCCGCTTCGCCAGGGAAAAAAAAAATGGATAAAATTCCATTTTAATCCCTAAAAACCAGGATTAAGAGCCCGTGCGGCTTAAATGACTCGTGGGGGTTAGAAAGGAGCAGCAGGAGGGGGAAAAGAAGCCTTTTCTCTTTGTTTTACGCTATTTTTCACCTCCTTGAAGCCTCACTCAGGAGCTGGCGAGGTCAAGGGATTCTTTATATTTTTAAAAATCAACCTTTTCCACCAATATTTGGCTAAAATTAGGGAATTACCTAAAAAACACTCGTGAAGGATTTATCTACCAAGAGTTTATGCCCTTTAGATCCCTCAGAGAGACAGGAGGGGGTTGTTTGATCTCCCAAAAAACCCTTTTCTCTTTATTTTATACTATTTTTCACCTCCTTGAAGTCTTACTCAGGAGCTGGCGAGGTTGAAAGATTCTATATATTTTTTAAAACCAACCTTTTTCACCAATATTTGGCTAAAATTAGGGAATCCCCTAAAAAACCAACACCCTGAGGGGTTTATCTGCCAAGAGTTTGTCTGGTTTGGATCCCTCTGGAGTCCTGGAGATACAGGAGGGGGTGGTTTGATGACCCAAAAAACCCTTTTCTCTTTATTTTACACTATTTTTCACCTCCTTGAAGCCTCACTCAGGAGCTGGCGAGGTCAAGGGGTTGTTTCTATTTTTAAAAACCAACCTTTTTCACCAATATTTGGCTAAAATGAGGGAATTTCCTAAAAAGCCACCCCTGAAGGATTCATCTACCAAGAGTTTATGCCCTTTGGATCCCTCTGGAGGGATGGGAGGGGGTTGTTTTATCTCATAAAAACCCCTTTTCTCTTTGTTTTATCCTATTTTTCCACCTCCTTGAAGCCTTACTCGGGAGCTGGTGAGGTCAAGGGATTCTTTATATTTTTAAAAATCAACCTTTTTCACCAATATTTGGCTAAAATTAGGGAATTCCCTAAAAACCACTCCTGAAGGATTCATCTACCAAGAGTTTATGCCCTTTGGATCCCTCTGGAGAGACAGGAGGGGGTGGTTTATCTCCCAAAAAACCCTTTTCTCTTTATTTTATACTATTTTTCACCTCCTTGAAGTCTTACTCAGGAGCTGGCGAGGTCGAAAGATTCTATATATTTTTTAAAACCAACCTTTTTCACCAATATTTGGCTAAAATTAGGGAATCCCCTAAAAAACCAACACCCTGAGGGGTTTATCTGCCAAGAGTTTGTCTGGTTTGGATCCCTCTGGAGTCCTGGAGATACAGGAGGGGGTGGTTTGATGACCCAAAAAACCCTTTTCTCTTTATTTTACACTATTTTTCACCTCCTTGAAGCCTCACTCAGGAGCTGGCGAGGTCAAGGGGTTGTTTCTATTTTTAAAATCTGGGGAAAATGATGAATTAATGCAGATTATCTGAGGGAAATGATGAATTAATGCATGTTATCAGGGAAAAACCATGAATTCATCCCGATTATCTGGGGAAAAGCATGAATTAATGCAGATTATCCGGGGAGAAAACATGAATTATTCCAGATCAGAGGCGCAAAACAGTGAATTCATCCAGATTATCAGGGAAAAACCATTAATTAAGGCAGATTATCCAGGAAAAACACTCCGGGAGCCCTCTGGCTCTCTTGGAATCTCTTCCTCCCTCCGTGGGGCAGAGCAGGAACGAACTGGGAGGAGGAGGAGGAGGAGGAGGAATGCGAAGGATGCACGGCCAACGCACGCAGGGCCCCCTTCCCCAACCCCTGCCAAACCCCCCCACGCTCACATTTCCACCCCCCCCAAAAAAAATCACCCCTTTCCATCCACCCCACGGCTCCAAAATCCCCTCCGGGACCTCCCACGGGGGTGGAATTTCCCCCCCAAAATCATATTTCACCATTAATTCCAGTCCCCACGTGCTCCTTGCACCCATTTGGAACCCAATTCCACCCCCCCTTCAGTGCCAGGGGGGGTGGGTGACAGACAGGGACGATGACAGGGATAATTAGGAGGTGGCAATTTATCACCCGGATCATTTGGCAATAGGGGGGTGGCGGGGGGGGGAAAGGCTCTTGGAAGCGTTTCCCCCCCGTAATCTAAATTTAAATCAAAAATACCTATTTTTTCCGCCACCTCTCCCGCTTCGCCAGGGAAAAAAAAAATGGATAAAATTCCATTTTAATCCCTAAAAACCAGGATTAAGAGCCCGTGCGGCTTAAATGACTCGTGGGGGTTAGAAAGGAGCAGCAGGAGGGGGAAAAGAAGCCTTTTCTCTTTGTTTTACGCTATTTTTCACCTCCTTGAAGCCTCACTCAGGAGCTGGCGAGGTCAAGGGATTCTTTATATTTTTAAAAATCAACCTTTTCCACCAATATTTGGCTAAAATTAGGGAATTACCTAAAAAACACTCGTGAAGGATTTATCTACCAAGAGTTTATGCCCTTTAGATCCCTCAGAGAGACAGGAGGGGGTTGTTTGATCTCCCAAAAAACCCTTTTCTCTTTATTTTATACTATTTTTCACCTCCTTGAAGTCTTACTCAGGAGCTGGCGAGGTCGAAAGATTCTATATATTTTTTAAAACCAACCTTTTTCACCAATATTTGGCTAAAATTAGGGAATTTCCTAAAAAGCCACCCGTGAAGGATTTATCTACCAAGAGTTTATGCCCTTTAGATCCCTCAGAGAGACAGGAGGGGGTTGTTTGATCTCCCAAAAAACCCTTTTGGCTTTATTTTATACTATTTTTCACCTCCTTGAAGCCTTACTATGGGAGCTGGTGAGGTCAAGGGATTCTTTATATTTTTAAAAATCAACCTTTTCCACCAATATTTGGCTAAAATTAGGGAATTTCCTAAAAAGCCACCCGTGAAGGATTTATCTGCCAAGAGTTTATGCCCTTTGGATCCCTCTGGAGGGATGGGAGGGGGTGGTTTGATCACCTAAAAACCCCTTTTCTCTTTGTTTTACACTATTTTGCACCTGCTTGGAGCCTTAGTCAGGAGCTGGCAAGGTCAAGGGATTCTTTATATTTTTAAAAATCAACCTTTTCCACCAATATTTGGCTAAAATTAGGGAATTTCCTAAAAAGCCACCCGTGAAGGATTTATCTGCCAAGAGTTTATGCCCTTTGGATCCCTCTGGAGAGACAGGAGGGGGTTGTTTTATCTCCCAAAAACCCTTTTTCTCTTTGTTTTACACTATTTTGCACCTGCTTGGAGCCTTAGTCAGGAGCTGGCAAGGTCAAGGGATTCTTTATATTTTTAAAAATCAACCTTTTCCACCAATATTTGGCTAAAATTAGGGAATTTCCTAAAAAGCCACCCGTGAAGGATTTATCTGCCAAGAGTTTATGCCCTTTGGATCCCTCTGGAGGGATGGGAGGGGGTGGTTTGATCACCTAAAAACCCCTTTTCTCTTTGTTTTACACTATTTTTCACCTCCTTGAAGCCTCACTCAGGAGCTGGCAAGGTCGAGGGGTTGTTTCTATTTCCAAAAATTAACCTTTTCCACCAATATTTGGCTAAAATTAGGGAATCCCCTAAAAAAAGAACACCCTGAAGGATTTGTCCACCAAGAGTTTGTGCTGTTTGGATCCCTCTGGAGTCCTAGAGGGACAGGAGTTGGTGGTTTGATCTCCCAAAAACTCCTTTTCTCTTTGTTTTACATTATTTTTCACCTGTTTGAAGCCTCACTCAGGAGCTGGCAAGGTCAAGGAGTTCTTTACATTTCAAAAAAATCAACCTTTTTCACCAGTAATTGGCTAAAATTAGGGAATTTCCTAGAAAACCAGCACCCTGAAGGATTTATTCAGGACAGGAGGGGGTTGTTTTATCTCCCAAAAACCCCTTTTCTCTTTATTTTATACTATTTTTCACCTACTTGGAGCCTTAGTCAGGAGCTGGCAAGGTCGAGGGATTCTTTATATTTTTAGAAATCAACCTTTTTCACGAATATTTGGCTAAAATTAGGGAATTCCCTAAAAAACCAACACCCTGAAGGATTTATTCACCCAGAATTTTGCCGTTTGGCTCCCCAGGAAGGGGGTTGATGGATCTCCCAAGGTTACACCCCTCCCCGGGGGCTGGCTCCCGGCCACGTTCCCGCCCAGAGGAACCCAAAAAGGGATGGAAAACAGGTCACGGGCTTCATTATAAATAACCCCAACCTTCTCCCTCCCCCTTTTTCCTCCCCGTTGCTGTCAAAGAACTTCAGCCTCGAAGCCGGCGCCGGGGAAAAAGAAAAACCTCCCAGGAATTGGGTTCTTTCAAAGGATTTTGGCGGCTCCGGAGATTTTAGGGAGAACCTCCACGGTCTCAGAAAAGAGGGAAAGAAGCCAAATCCTGCAGGAAGGGCACGGAATCATGTTTTTTCCTGGTTGAACAAAAAAAAGAGAAGCAACCCATTCTGCAAGGAAATACAAGAAAAGGAGGAGTCCCGGAGCCACGGCCCGCGGATTTCAAAGGATGAAGGAGCTGGGTTGGGAATGTCCATCTTCCTTAATGATGCCTCTGGCTTTAATTAGTGCCAATAAAAAGGGAGATTTAAGCACGGTGTAGCCAAGAGAAAAAAAGAAGAGCGTCGGAAAAGGTGGAAAAGCTGGAAAAAAAGAGCAGCTTTCCTCATTTCCCAGGGAATTTCTGCGGCACGAGTTACGGAATAACCCCTCTGGGATATTTGGGGAGGGGGCTGGAGCTTTAAAACCCCTTTGGAGCTTTAAAACCCCTTCCTCGAGGGGGGAACCCCCCAAATCCTGCCTTCTCCAGCATCTCCTCAACATCAAAATAATCCCTGGTGGCTTTTAGGACGCAAAGGATACCTGGAATATCCACCCTCCCCCCCCCAGGGATGCTCCCTGGGCTCTGGGGTTTCATCCCTTCCCCGTTCTCCTCCGGATCCAGGTGGAAAAAAAATAAATAAATCCCAATTCCCAACCACCTCTGATGCAATCCAGCGCGGCCCTGACCTCAGCAAGGGGGGGGACAGGCCACCAAACCCCCCCGGGGGGTATTTAAAGAGCTCAAGGTATATATTTACCCAAAAAACCAAGGAGCTGCCCAGAAGAGAGCAACCTGCCCCCCAAAATCCCGGGAAAGGGGCCAGGTTAAAGCACGGGGTGACCCAGGAGGGGGGTGTAACTCCTCTGATTTTTATCTCCAGCTTGGGGAGAGGTGATTAAAAAGGGACAATTTGACCTCAAAACAGGGCACCTTGGCATGGCGCCGGGTGCCAGGGAGGAGACGGGCCAAAGATGTAGGGGGGGGAGGACAAAAAACCACCATAAACCAACCGTTATTCCGAAATAATTCACCGCGGTAACACCTTTGTGATGGGATTGAGCCCCAGATTTTCCCTCCCAATTTGGGGTAAAATAAATAAAATAAAGCTTTGAGCATCTTCTCACCCCCAAAGTGAGCCACAAACCGCTCTGGAAGGGGGGTGAGGGGGGGGGATACCAGTGGGTTCTCCTTTCTCCAAAAGGAAAGGGTCCCAGTGGTGAAGCACAGGGAAGTGGGAAGCAGTGATTAGAGGTGGGGAGCGGGGAATTATTCCCCCACACAAAGAAATTTGGGATTTCCCCTCCGTTTTCCAGCGGTATTGAGGGATTCCACGCCAGGGGCTTGGACTGGGGGATGTTCAGAGCAGCCCGAGGGCTACAAACCCCTTGGGAAGAGCATTTCCCACCCCGGGGGGGCAATTAATCCCAGATAAAAAAAGCCTAAAGACAATCCAACCCCCTCGAATTGGGGGAATTTGTCTCTATTTTGGCTTTTGAGGGGATTCACCCCAACCCAGGAGGCCCCCGCAAACCTGGGCCTCCCCGCAGGCAGGAGAGCAGGCGGCCCCCTACAATTAGCGGCGAGTAATTAAGGACTTAATAGCAGCGCTTGAGGGGCTCATTGCTCTTTTACCGGCGGCTTAAACCGAATAACGGGCGAGGAAAACGGCGACGGACGCCCCGAAAGAAGAGTTCACCGGGACACGACGGACCTGGAGGCGCAAGGCGGTTCGTTAAGCGTTAATTAACGAAGGGATGGAGACGGTGGGATGCCCTGAGGGGGTGGGGGGGGTCTCCTCAGCGATTCCACCCCCCCCCGTTCCCATGGCGACCAGGCCCAGGGGCTCCCAAGGCCCAGCCCGGCCGCTGCCACGTTCCCGCTCCCGCCGGGATAGGGTTGTGGGAGCGGGACCGGTCGCTATAACCCCTCGGGGAGGTACCACGGGGCCTGAGGCCGCTTCCTCCCCCACCAGGCCCGGCCCGTTCACTCACCGTTACCGGGAGCCGCCGCCGCCGCCGCCCGCTTCTCCTCAGGCCGCTCTGCCGACCGGAAGTAGGCGCCACGCCGCACGGCCCCCCGCGCTCCCACCCCGCCGGCCAATCAGCGCTCGGCTACTCCTCCCCCGCCGCCGCGTTCGCCGCTCCCATTGGACGACCTCGCCGTCACTCCGCCTGGAGTCCCGCCTCCCTACCCACCGCGCTCCGCCCCGCCTCCCCGCCCCTTTCCCCTCTCCCCCGCCGCCGGCCCCGCCCCCTCCGCCGGGGTAGCGAGGTGGGGGGGGGCGCGGCGCGGGCGCTGATTGGCTGGAAAGCGCCACGTCCTCAGGCGCGCGCCGGCCGGAGGCCCCGCCCTTTCGTTGACGCCCCGCCCACGCCCCCTCACTGCGCAT